TCACGAAGGTCAAAAAATTTTATTTTGAACTTTTGAGTTAGGTCAATAGAATAAATGCAACCATCCAATTTCACATCCAATAGCCAAGATTAATTGTAACTACCTTCTACTAAAAATAAATGATCCTAGTATATACGTTTCCTTTGACTTATAACCTACAAATATATATAATCATGAGTTGGAATATTTATAAATAAATGGAATGTCAAATAGGTGATCTCATGTGAATATTTGATAGATCTTTTGGTTTAAACCAATGCTTTGAAAAACGGATTGGTGACTCCGTTCGTCTACTCTAAACACCGCGTCAGATCGGCAGATCAGTTATCAGGATTGGAGAATTGATCGGATTGGCCAGATGTGGCCATAGAAAAAATTCAAATATTCATTAAAAAATTCAAGAATTCATTTTTTAAAAAAGGGGGTGTTATATTGTGTATTTTCATTATTTTGCAAAAACAAGTAAATTTTGAAACGTTTTTTATTTTCTGTGTCTATTGATACTAATTTTGTACTTCAACAAACTTTTTGATGTTCATTTTGTGATTTTTATTGAAAAAACGAGGAAGAAAGTGATTTTTTTGTTATTTTTATATTAATTTAGTGATACTAATTGTCATTTTTGTGTCATTTTTCTCTCACACACATTGGACTTTTTTCTCTCACATACATAAAAAAAACATATTGGACATCTCTCTCCTATGTAGATACACATATAAATATGCAAACATATTGGAGCTCTTTCCCTCTCACACACATACAAAGATATTGGGCATCTCTCCCCTATCTCACACCAAAAACCTCTCACATAAATAATGCACCATATAATATGATTTTGTAAGAGAAATGGACCTTATAATATTTCCTATGAGAATTATAATGTACTCATGTGATGCAGTAATTTGGTCCGATATGTATAATACGAGATATTTCAAACATTATTTTTGTACACATCAACATTTTTTCTTTCATAACATCTGCAAGGGGTGATTTTTTAAACATGGGTTGGGTCATGGCATTTTTCTCACCTCCCATTTCTCTATCACACTAAACTTTGGTTAATAAAAGAATGGGTCGGTCATTGCATTTTTTTAAACATGGTTTTAATAAACGAAGGGGAGGGAGAACGTGGAAAGTTATTAACCCTTTGTCCCACATCGGACATGTGGCAGGGACAAAGGGCAACCGAGCCAAGTGCTTTACCCCTCTGAAAAAGGCACACCGTGTCAAAGGTGCACCGTGGAGGTGTTTGTGGGGTCCAATATTGGCGGGCCAGTGATGTTCGAATTTTCAAAATTTGAATAAGTATGCAATGGTATTAAATTTTGGAAATTTTGGGGGAGACCTGGTCCGTACCGATCCGAATTGGTAAAGATGGGGTTGAATCCGCCGGTTTCCGAATTGGTAAAAATGGGGTTGAATCCGCCGGTTTTGGAGGGACATGATCGATTTTTCTATAATGTGAGATTTAAAATCTATTGTTGCTCATAATTATGAAATTTAAAGTTTTAGAAATGGTTACAATCAAGTAGATTTATAAATACGTGAAAATCTTGAAAATGGACGGTCCAGATAATATATTAGAATATAAATTATTTTTTAAGACTATAAATCGCCTATTTTTCATATCTATAGATCACGAGGTCGAGATGATCGATTTGAGGTTTTTCCAACATAAAAAAGACCTTTCTCTACTGGGTTTTTTAGTTGCACCATACCGTACAGAATAAGGTTAACACCATATACAAACATTTTCCTATCAACAATTTTTCAAACCTTAGTTTAAACAAGCGTTAGAAAAAACGGTTCGTTTCAATCGAAACCAATTAATTAGAACGAAATTGAGAACCCCCGGTTCCAGTTAGCTCCGGTTTGGATGCTACTAGTAAGATATACCCCAACCATAAATTTTTTGAACCAAAACCGGTTGGATCTCTATCTAACTGACTGGTTTATTGCTAACCAGACCAGGTTTACTGACGTAACTGACGCCTGTAATTTGCACTAGAAACGTGTAAATTACTCTTTTTTTTTCCTTTTCTAATTCATTTTTCAGCCATATTTTGGCATTTTTTAGTGTACTATTGATGTAAATCATCATATTGTGTCTATAAAACAATGATTTTGGAATGAAAGATCCATAAAAATAGAGTTCTAGTCGATTGAAATGGCCATTTTTTGGGTTTTTGGAATTTCCACCATTTCTTCAATTACATCTCATTACCGAAACATTTTTTATGGAATTTTTGGCATTTGATAGATAATCTTACCCGAGATGGCGTTCTTTTGGGATTTTTGGAATTTCCATCATTTTTTCAATTACATCTTCATTCCCAAATCATTTTTTATGGAATTTTAGGCATTTGATAAACAATCTTACCCTTTACCAGATCTGTATTTCAATTTGTTCGATCTACATTACATTGTAGGTCATTTTTGGCCCGAAACTATACAGCTGAAAAAACCTGAGTTCGATCCAAAATTGAAGATTTTTTATCAATTTATTGCTCGTTTTTTATCAAATTGAATTGTGGTTTTTATTATCAAGGCTTCTTCTCTCAAATAAAATAGGTAAGTTTATTTATGATAGAGTAACTTTTTATATGAATTTTTTTCTTGTCTGATGTGATGAAAGTTTATGGACTTGAAATTTCTGTCATTTTTTCAATTAAATCTTCGATACCAAATCGTTTTTTATGAAATTTGGTGCGTTTGAAAGATAATTGAAGCTTTTACAATGCATGTGTATTGATTTGTTCGATTACCAAAAGATTGAGGGTCGTTTTTTGCTCGAAATATTACACGATTTTAGGGGCTTTTGATAAATCGATTTTTCTATTGAGGATAAATTTTCTATTTCACAAAATATAAAGGACATTTACATAAAATTTCCCAATTATAATAAATATAAAATCGTTTTTCTCACTTGAAATTCAAAGACTCGATACATTTATGCATCATCTGATATATTTTTAAATTACCATGAGGTTTGTCATATCCCCATATTGACCAGTTAAACAAACAAGTGCTAATGTTATGGTTTTATGAATCTTATTTTTAAGTAGTAGCCATTGCAATGATCTCTTTAAACTTTAAATTTTTAATTTTTTACTTCAAATCGAACCAGCTGTTTAAAATTTGGAATCAGGTTTGGGATCCCTCACCCAATTCTACGTATTCGGATCAGCTTGACTTATAAAAGAATTGCTTAAAAAATAAATAAATTCAAGAGAATTTGGAGGGGAGGTATCCTGATCTTGAACCCACTAAATCCGATCCGAATTCCAATTGCATTAAAAACTGTATAACATTAGTGCATGACATGGCCGACTACAATTGATTTCTTTTTTGTCCAATGTAATTGATTTTAAGCCTTTGTAAATTACACACTTGTAAATGCCACGGACTCTCGGCAGAGGAAACAGACTCCTCTCAACTGTCCGTTCCAATGGGACCCTTGCTAGCATATTGTTTGAATTCATAATACTAGTATAGTATAAAAACTCATTTTTTATTCACCACAAATGACAAAAAGAAGGTAAAGAGTGGTAAAAAAAATCTTGTTTCTGAAAAATCTACTTATGAGTGGGGTATTTTTCAAAAAATCTAGAAAGTTATGATATTCAGTATTTATAGTCAAAACACTTCATATATTAATTTTTATAAAAAAATTATTTTAATTTTTTTTAAGACAAATATAAGTAATAAGATAGTATATACTTGATCTATATTTCTTCATACTTTTTAAAATATTTTTTACTCATTTACAAAAAAAAAAAAAAAGATACGACAGAACTAAACCAGCCCGGTTAACCGTATGGGCAGCCCAATCCGACCGCTTTGACCCCATGTCCAATTAACCGTTCCGATTTGATTTTTCGAACGATGTAAACTAGTTTAAACTTTACCCCGGTAAATAGTTTTTTCGAGAGATGAAGTCGCCGCACGCATTGAGTGCCCATATATTCAACGAATCCGTACCGTCGAAGCAGACCCCTAAGAAAGATCGGGGACGTGCATGACAATTGCAGTTCTTGAGCCGGATGCAAAAGGTCCACCTCAACAAATCGACGGCTGAGTTTCACCGTGAGATCCGAGCCTTGAAGATGTGGGCCCGCTTACTGGGAAAGAGCAGACATCGATGGCTGATGTGTCCTTCAAGTCGCACGCCCCCATGGACACCCTTTAAATGCCTTTTTCATTCCCGACCGCCTCATCAATTGACACGTGTCCATCCACGATGCCTGTTCCCTTACCCTGCAATGCGGGGGCCACGAAAGAAACACATGACATGTGGTAGTTACGAGCTCCCCGTGGCTGACGTGGAACACAATTGGGTCCCGCTTGTGATTACGTGGAAAATGCAACGTGGCACCACGGTGGTCCCCACAACTACGACCCTGCTTCTTTTCGGCCAAATCAATGGCGTTGAAAGGGTAGCGGACGTGCACGCTTTATCGTTTTCCCCCGCAAACGAATGAAATTTGTTTTCTCTCTCCTTTTCTTTGATGCCCTATCAAATGTATTAATGGCGTATGTGTCCCTTTTTGGGAAAGAGAAAATGTGGTCATGAAGGCAGGTCATAGCTTGTTGGGTGGGTCCTACCAAACTGGTGACCGTCACTGGGCTACGCCAGCCCTGGCCCCTAGGCCCCATGGGGCTCGCCCAGGCTCGGTCCTGACTTGACGGGCTAAAGAGACCTTTGCCGAGGCCCGGCCTTGTTCTATCAAGGACGAGCCGAGCTGGATCAAAAAATAAAAAATATAAAAAAATAAAAAATAGATTTTCTGGCCAAGCCAGACCGACTGTGGCCCACACTTGGCCGAGCCATATCCTTAGGTCGTGGCTGCCGAACCCTAACACGGCTCACGTCCGCCCACGCGACAAGTTATGAAGCAGTAATTTCGGCATTTGAAAGGGGTAGAAAGGAAATTAGAAGTAGTGCATGCTTGTGTATAAGCTTTTCAACCGGCGGTCTTATGGAGATCACGTGCTGAGTCTACACTTTTCCCCATTCCATTCTTAAAAGCTTTCGTCCTCATTCTTCTTGCTTTTCAATCAACTGGCCAGGGCCGGTTTTCCATGGCTAAAACTCCATCGTTCAGTTCAACAAGCGAACCCCTTGACTCCAACTAGGTGAAGCTTTGAATCGTCACTTTTCCTCTCATGAAAAATACCCCAATTTATCTATTTTCAACAAACCATCTCATATTTATTTTCTGAAAGCATAGATCCAAATCTTCAGTTCTCCTCTCATGAAAAATACCCCAATTTCTCTATTTTCGATTTACCGATCTCTTTTTTATTCTCTGAAAGCATCGATGCGAAGGCCATGAGAGCACGCTTTGGCTCGAAGGATGAGCGAGAATGGGTGGAGCCTTCCTCCTGCTAGCGTGCCCTTCGAAGTTGAGAGAGAGGAGCATTGGAGACGGTTGGATAACTCAGTGAATGCCGTTTCATTTGGGTTTGTGGCCACTGCTATTTTGATCTCCATGTTTTTGGTTATGGCTATTTTCGAGAGGTTTCTGCGACCTAGATCTCATCAGGGGCCGGATTTCTCCTTGTCTAATGACCACTATTCGCGGGACCCTGAGGCTCAGCACGTCAAGCTCGAGACCTCCTCACCCTCGGTGAGTCCTCTGTGTCTTATGGCCTTTATGGGTTTCTCTTGAGAAACTAACAGGTACACCAGTTTTGCATGGTATATGCCCCACTAATAGGTACACAAAGTATGCCTGCACTAGTTCCATGATATTTGGTAGCGACACACACAATAGGGGAATCGATCTTACAATTCTGATAAGGAACGGTCGAGATTTACCTGCACCGAGACACCGTCGAGTCCACTCAGATTCGGGGTTATTGGGACCTTGCCCCATAGACGAGGCCAGTTTTATCCGAGTATGACCTTTCCCACACGACGTTTGAGATTTAGGGCCCTTCTACACGTATGTGTAAGATTATTATTAATAAATTTGACACAAATCACTATAAAAATCTAAGTTCATGAGATAAATTTATCTCAAGTTTAATGGTGATACGTTTATATCTTACCCACATATATGTGTGTGGGAGTGTCTCGTCAGATCATAAATATATATATATATATATATATATATATATATCTTATTTTTTATCTTTATTTTTATTTATTATTTTAAATTTAAGCTGAACTCAAATGAGCTACTCTGTTCACCTGAATAACTCACCTCACAGAAATGCAAAGTACTTTGACCGAGTAGATTTTCTGTTTTGCGAACGAAACTTAAAATAGCGTCTGCGTTGTTATGCGTAGTACTACTTTGACTGAGTCGATTTTCGTTTCTTGCGAAGGAAACTCAAAACAGCCTCTGCGTTGTCATGGCAGCAGATGGTATGTTTCCATCGTACGTACATACACTTGCAGTGTACAGTATAATATATTTCCTATTTTTTAATTGGGAAGCAAGTTCATTGTGACGCGGCGTATTTAACGGGAATTGTTAATAATGCTGTTTCTTATCTTTAAGAATTTGATGTTTGAGATGCTGACTTGAATATCCCTGATTAGTAGCACTGTGTTCAGGTCGTGTTAGCAGCACTGCCCTAGGCTTAAAAATCGAACTACCCTCGAAAACTAGCTAATGGCCGGTTACCGGTAAACCAGTCTAACCGAGCATGTCCTCGCCGGTTCAAAAAGTGTTAAAAAATAAAAAATATTTTTTTAAAAAAAAATATATATTTTAAACACGATTAAACTAAGGGCATCTACATGAAGCTGAAAAGTGGCAAAAAAATGAACTCCAAGCTGAAAAGTGGCGAAAAAATGAACTCCAACTTGTGCTCAAGGGTATTTTTCAAATTTTTTAAAAGAGATGGAAAAATATAAAAATAAGTATTCACGGCCAAAGCACTTTACAATCTTTGTCCAAATAATAAAAACATTCAAGTACACATTACAAACAAATACATTATTTTTTGAGATTTTATTTAATTTTTTATATTTTTTAAAAATACTCGGCCTGACCACCAAAATCGAATCAGGCAGATTCCGGTTTGACCGGCCGAGAAACTGGTTCCCATTCCACTAATGCATATGAAAACGACTAATTATATATGTAAAGCTACATGAGGATGCTCACAATATAGAGTAATTTATCGTTGTACTCACCAAATTTGAAAACTTATATACTTTTATTTTGTACATAGAGTTTTTTTAGTAGGGATATTTGGAGTTTTTTTTAGTAGGGATATTTTTTGTTATTAGAAAGGGTGTGACATCATCTACTTGGTATTCTATGTGAGTGACATCACACTCATGTGGATGATGTCACACACCTCCTAATTATCAAAAATACTTTATTAAAAAAAATTCTATACATAAATAAAAGTATATAATTGTTCAAAATTTGTTGAGTACAATGATAAATTACTCTATAATAATCGATTGGTCCTCTTCAAACAAGTTTGGAATTCGAATATGGAACAGTAGCTCATTTCCACCGTTTCTATGCTAAGCCGGGGCAGTTTGTACCTCACAAACAAAACAAGCAAATGTGTGTGTTATATAATAAATAGTGATTTAAATATGGAAAATGGTTCGATAGGGCTGCAGCCCAATCGAAATAAATAAAGCTTCACCTCATAACTCATAAAAAATTGCAATTTTTAGTGTTGAAAAACCTTCTTTCGATCATCTCAGCTTGAACAATATGGTAGTGTAAAACAATTAGGATTTTAAATTCTAAAACTAGTATATATTGCAACAAATCATCTAGACCATCCATTTCACTCTAAAAATAAATGTTAATAGATCCACAAGATGTATACCAAATTTTGAGTTTCAAATTTTATTATTAGTCTTGAATAGTAATTTTAGAGGCATCATGAAGGTTTTCGATGCCAAAATTGCTTTTCAGATGACGATTTGATGCGAAGCTTTATTATGTTTTCACATAGCCTAAGCCCTGTAGAAACCTCATATTTTTAATGTTGCAACCAAAATTAGGCATACCTCTAAACTTTGTTATAAATCATAAGATGTAATTTTCGTATTGATAATTGCTTGGATTTCTTCTAATTATAAACGTTTAAGCTTTACAAGTGGTTCAAATCAAGCAGATCTATAAACGCATGAAAATATTGAAAATAAATAATATATTATAAAATATATTATTTTTGTGACTTAAATATATTTTTCTTTCCATATTCATGTTGAGATCCCAGTTAAATGGTTTAACAACATCGAAACAGCTGTTGTCGACAAATGTTTGCACCTTAATTCTACACTATAAGGTGTCAACCTCATAAACTTTTTTGATAAATATTTCCTCCATTATTTTTTGGGATCTTATTTCGAGCGTATTCTTTTTGTGTATCTGATTGGCTTTGTCGCCTTTTCTCATAGAGAAATTGCTAATACATCCAGCTTAGGGTTCGTTTTAAGTTTCCCGAAATATATGAAAGAGGAAAAGAGAGAGAGAGAGTGTGTATGTGTTTAATTTATACGTTTACGCCTCTTGCTTTTAAATTTTAGTAAATTGATCAAAATATCTCAAAAAAAAAAGTCCCTGTCTTTGTCTGAGTTTAACCGGTTATTACTCATGAACATTGTTCGTAAAATCGCCCAATCTAATCGCTAATCGCCTGGTTAATCGGAACCGGCTAGTGGCTGGTTTAGGTTTTGGGCGGTTAGGGTGATCAACCGGTACTTAAAAATAAAATTCAAAAAAATGTATATAAATTCTCAAAAATAGGGAATTTGATTTATAATGCATTTTTAAATATTCTTTACATTATGGTAAAGATTAAAAAAAAAATTGGTCATTAATACTCACTTTTATATTTTCATCTCTGTTAGAAAATTTTAAAAATAGCCATTGGAAAATATAATGGGTTAAAATTTATTTATTTTCATTAATTTTCAACTTCATTTGAATGTGTTTTTTTTTAATCACTTTTTATATGCTTTTCATATTTTAGTAGTTTTGTTTTTTCAATACTTTTTTGACCATCCGAGACTTGTCCGGTTAGAGCGGTTGAATTGGCCGATTTACTGATTGGGCTGATTAAGCCGATTCCATGCCATGTCTGGTTAACGGTTCCAGCTCGATTTTACGAATGCTGCTAGTGGAGTTGACATTTACATCAGCCAATTCTTTTCTAAATATTTTACTACTATTATAAAATGTTAGAAAACTGACAAATAGAAATAATACGGCTGCATCAACTTCTCGCCCAACAAATGAATATTATATTTATTTGTTGGATTAGTTGATATTTTTCTAAATAACTTGTTATTGTTTTTTATTCCCCACAATACTTAGATAGTTTTAAAATTATGATCTGAAATAAAAAAAATCCACTTCTATTTGCTTCCATCCTCGTGTAAGAAAAACTATGTTTTGTATTAAATACCCAGATATGCATAATATATGTAGATGGTGGGTTAGTTGTTCTACCCATTCAACCTAACATTCTATCTCAATATCATATTAATATTATAAAATGTATATAATAAGATCATTTATCTTTGGTATAAGGAGGTCACAAGTAATTTTAAGTATTGGATGTGAAATTAGATGGCTGCATTTCTTCCATTGATCAAGTTGAAATTCAAAAAAAAAAAATTTCAAACTTTGTGATATATCCAAGCTATTGCATTTTACGTCGGATGGTTGTAAGTAATTATGACCTCCTCATATAAAAAATAAATGGTTTCACTGTATACAATCCCTTAATATTTTTATTGCACATATTATATTGTTGGGGTAATGGAAAAATGATGTCATACAATGGATTCTATTTTTCTCCTTTATTAATGGTCTATTTGCATTATTTACCTAAACAAATAATAAAATATTTGATATGTATCCTGATCTTTTGCTTTACTTTGTCATGTTGTAGATGTCAGTATATTGCAAGGGGGTCTCAGTGCTAATGCCAGGTCAAGTGATTCCCACTTTCATTGCCCACCCTGCGCCTCCTCCTCCTCCTCCTCCTCCCCCTCCCCCATGTCCACCAGAACGCATCCCATGGCCTCCTCATCACCACTCTCCAATTTCTACATTCCATGAAAATATAATTCCACATACATGAATCTCTGGCCAATCGTTGTCCAATTTTTGTAAATGGGTCTTTTTGCAAGGATTTAATATATAGGGAAATCTATCTCTTGTGCCCCCTTTTGTATATTGTAGAAAATTATGATAATGATCTTACTGATGTTCGGTTTTCCTATTACGCTATATATATTGCAGAAACTTCATGATTTACAGATGTTCTTTTTCGGTGTGGAATGGAAATACAAATCTGATTACAAAATTAATTTATATATCTGATAAAGATTACAACATTAAACTATAGTTCAGTTTCTCTTATGGATTTTGCTTCTCTCACATGCTTGTGCTTCTTTTTCGAATATTCAGTGATGCTTCCCACATGTAGGGATGGCAATGGGCCGGTTACCTGGCACTAAGAAAACTAAGGTTTAGGTCACAAAATATGGCCTGAGGTCGGGGCTTGGATGAAACCAAGATAGGCCCAGCCCAGTTTGACCTTTAGTTTTTCATCTTTTTTTCTTTTATTTTTGTTTTTATTTTTGTTTTTATTTTTAATTTTACCTGTCCCAGCGCCTGGCTTGGTTTGGCCCTTATTTTTCATTTTTTTCTTCCTTTGTTTTCTTTTAATTTTACCTGGTTCGGCATGTTGCCAGCCCGAGACGCATGTGCTTCTTCTCCAAATATTTATTGATGATTCAGCAACCAATTATAAAGAGAGAGAGGGGTGGACTGATGGCTTGCTTTATAATTGTGCTCTCTCTCTCTCTTGGTCTCTCTCTCTTTATAATTTCAACATTTGCAAATTTGAATCGATCTAATTTCCATTATTGGAATCTTATTCGTATATTAGGATTGGATCGGGATTTTCTCGTCCAAATCCCTCTCTAATCCTTATCCTCATCCTAGATTTCCTAACATGGAGAAATGGAGAAACTATGCTTTGTCTCCTTTGTCGGTCAAATATACTATGGGTACGGCAAAGCACACCTTCAAATAGTATCAACAAATGTGATTTCAATATTGAAAATCTTTGTGATAGCCTTAAAATATATTTTTATTTTTAATTATAAAATTTAAAGCTTCAAAATTAGTATAGATCGAGTAGATCTATGAAAACGTGAAAATCTTGAAAACTGACTGTCCAAAAATGTATTATAAGATGTACTATTTCCAAAACTTGAAATCCATATTTTTCTCATTTCTATACATCTTGTGGTTGAGATGATCATTTTGAAGATATTTTGAGCATCAAAACAATCGCTTCTAATGAAATTCTTTTAGTTGAGCCATAATTTTTCCATATACTGAGCTTTTTCCTTATACTGTTGCAAATAATCTTTTATTTTGAATTGGATTAGTCTTAAAACTTGTGAAGAACAACGTTCATAAAGTGGACTGCGCACAGTTCTTTGCCAAGGCGTTGCTTCCGGATCTTTGAGAAATATGCAACATTTGTATGCATTCTTCAAACGCCTTAATCATTGTGTCAAATGGTTTGAGGAATATTAACGCTTGTAAAAATTTTGCTAATACCTTAACTACAACTCCGCCTAGGCCAGCACCCTAACAGTCATTGCCGGTCCCAAGCCCGGGGAAAGAATGATGGTTGTGTTTGATAGGCAACGAGTATGGCTAGAATTTTTAGAATACTACATAGAACTCTAGTAAATTGTTTTATCAAGAATATACAAGATTCCGTATAAATATAGGATCAGTAATAATTAAAAATAAATACCAACGGTTATGAATAGACACCACCTAATTTTATCAATAGATATGTCTTAATACATATGCATATCCATACGTTCTAATAATATAAATACCAACGGTTATGGATATACACCACTGTTTGAACATATTTTTCAGCATCTTGGATCCCCAATGCAGAATAAGGAGAAAACCGGTCAATAAAGCCTTGATATATAGTGGAATTTTTGACAGTCTCAGAATTGCCTTAGAACATGTGAGAATCTTCCTAAGGACTCCAAATCGCAATTTGATGTGTCTAAGGCAGTGCATACAAAGAAATAATTTCGGATAAATCAGCCTCTTATCCTGAAACGAACCCCATAACTAGAACTCTATTTTTGGTACGTCAAAAGGCTGTGGAACCACTACCATTGGATCCAGCACTGTCGAAAACTCTTGAAGTCAAGTTTCGGCTTAAACAGACATGCCAGGATAAAGTTATTGGATCCGTGCGGCCTCCCTACACCAAGTCACCAGTGATGGTGACTATTTTTACAGTCACTAGTAGTAATTTCAGAGACCTATATCTCCTTCGATTCGCTCAAATTTTGCGGGCATGTTCGTATTGTCAAAGCAAGCGTTTCGATATGTGGTACGCACCGAGACGATGCTCGAGCAGAGAGAAAAACTAGAGAGAAGTTGAAGATTTGTGAAGACAGTTGCAGAAAATTCAGCAGCAACACGTCTAGCTCGAGCGGTCAAATCACGGCGCTCGCATAACGGATCGATGTGAGACCAATTCCAACTTGTGCGTAAGGTTCAGGGCTGTCTCTTTGTCCAAACCCTGCATGTGCTGAGCAGTCGGATTTCACACATGAAGGCATCGAAATCACTGCAGATTCCGGTCGCTAAAAATCCAGATTCCGACAGCTAAAAATCCAGATTCCAGCCGAAACCCAAAAGTTGCGAAATCTTCGTTCGGGCACGAAATCGAGCTGCGTTTGATGCAAAATGATCGTGATGAGGTGCTCAGTGTAATTCAACGAAAAAATCATCAAAACACATTAAAAAATGGCGCAATCTTCACGTTGCGTGATCGTAGCCTGAAAACACGATCCGTGACTCGAAGTGGGTATTAAATCGATCATCATTTATGAGCCCAATGAAAAAACAATAAGCTTTTTGTCGGATGATCGCAAGGGCAAGAATTGAAGTGGAATTTAATGAATTATTGGACAGGCAAAATCATCCTTTTGTCTTATTTTTTTTAATTTTTTTTAATTCAAATAAAATGTATTATCAGCCATTAAAATAGATTTTAATTAATCCACCTATATTTGAGCAAAAGTCAATTATATATGTCATGTGATATAATTGTACGCGGGACCCTATTTGGCTTATTAAAATTTTGATTTGTCTTTATTGTTTGGTCACCTTTGTTTTAAAGAGAGAAATTTTTGGGTTGATACCCTTGAGTAAAGTAACCATCTTTCTCTCTCTCTTTCTCTTTCCTCTTTCACAATGGGCCTAGCTTCATGGCCATGTGTGTTTCACTCTTTCTCCTTCTCTCCTCTTTCCTTTCTCTTGTGATCTCGCACCACACCCTCCTCTTCTCTTTTATTTGTAGTCCTTCACGACCAAACTTTCTCTTTTCTATAAATTTTTTATTTTTTTATACCCTGCAAGTCCAACTACTCCCTGTGTACCATTAAGTCTACCTCTTTCTTCTTTTTTTTTCTCATAGTCCCTCATCTTCACCCACTTTTTCCTTCTTTTTATGTGTTCCTCACAGCCCCTCCATTGTAGACCCTCGCACCCCTTTTTCTTTTCCCTCACACGCTCTCCGTTATCCCGTGCGACCACCATCTCCCAAAAACATTTATTTGCAGGCCCGGGTGTGCAAACGAAGCCCATCGCTCGTACATGAAGGTAACCCCGGCGGAGGCGCAAAACCCATCGCCGTCTATGAACATAACCCCGGCGCAAGCGCAAAACCCATCGCCGTCCATAAACATAACCCCGGCACGGTTTGTAAACAAAACCCATCGCCGTCTGTGACCGCGCCAGTAACCACCTCTTACCGCCTGTGTAACCAACCAACCTCTTACTGCCGCTCATGACTCAACCTCACCGCTACTACCCCGCCTTACCCTCTTCTGCCCATCACCATATCTCCCCATCTCCACCTCTCTTTGCTGCCCCGTCTCAGCCCCCTCTCCTCCCTTTCCGCCCACTCCACCCACAACCAAGCAGTCTGCTGCCCACGCTGCCACACACCCCCTTCACTTCTCTCTTCACCCCATTTTCTCAATCTCTCCCTGCTGCACCCACCACTCTGCTGCTCTTTCTCTCTCTTAACTCCCTGCTCTGCCATTTACAACCAGGCCATCCACCATCGTCCCAGCCTGCTGCAGCACCACCTCTTCCCAATCCCCCACCACGCACCACATCACTGTCAACGCTCTGCCCTCAATCACCTTCTCTCCCCTCCCCTGCTGCCATCTCTCTAAACCTCCACCACACCTCCGCCTCTCTCTCAACTGCAGCCATTAGTTGCAGTCACCATCTCCGCACCTCGGCTTCTCTAATCACCATCCGCATCCCACCTCTTCACTGACTCTCTCTTTCTTCCACCCTGCTGCAGCCACCTACTCTCGCAGCTCTCTCTCTCCGCCACTTCCTATAGCAGCCACCTCTCTCTGCTAACTCAGCTGCCTCCTCTCTCTTCCACCATCTTTCACTCCATTTCCGCCATCTTTCCTCAGCTGCCGCACCCTGTTGCAACCTCTCGCAGTCCCATCTCTCTCGATCACCTGCTGCGATCACTACAGCAGCCCCTGTCCTCCCTCTCTTTCGTGCCGTCCAACCATCCTCTCCCACATTTCCATTTTCCTCACTGCGTTTTCTCTCTCTAAAAAACCCGCAAAGCGAAATAAATACTTACTTCCCTTTGTTTCTTTTCGTTTTTTTTGCTTTCGTCAATTTCGTTTCGTTCTTCCTCTCACGATATTTCGCTCAACCCAACAAAAGTTCTCTCGCTCCTGACTAACCTACGCGTCTCCTTTTCCATATCATGTTATTCCTTTTTTTTTTTACTCCCATGAAACCCAATACCCCAATTCTCTCTCTCTCTCTCTCTACCAAATTTCCCTTCCATTTTTTTTTATTATTATTATACTTTACCTTTTTTTTATCCACTGCCCTTTATTTCATTTTGCTATCTTTATCCCAACTTACTTCCTCTAATCTCTTTCTTACCCCTTTCCATTTAATTTTATTTTATCTCTATTACTATTTCATTTTATTCCAGTCTAGCTACCTCTTTATTTTATCTTTAATACTTATTTTACTTCATCTCATCCTATTTCATTTTAGTCACCTATTTCACTTTATTTTATTCTATTAATTTTATTTTCATCACCTCATATTATTTTATTTTGTTCTCTTTTACTTTTATTTTATTTCACTCCATTTCATTTTTAAAAAAAATTCATTCCTTTACCCATTTCATATCATGCTAATTTTATT